TTTTTTTTTTTTTTTTTTTTTGAAAAAAGTGGGAAAAGAAATCTATGTTCAAATGGGAGCAAGATCAAGAATTGCATGCCTTATGACAGAAAGAAAAATTGGTGTTTCTAATAGAAGAAATCTTTCAGCAAAGAGAAAGACATATATAGAGGTGAATAGTTCCATGCATGGACCTGGCTTTCTTTATCAGGATGAAACTAATGAATAGTTCAACAAAACAGAATGTAAACTGGACTTAGAGAGAGAAACATTGATGTCCCAATAGCAACAAACCAAACAAAAACCAAAAACAAATATGCAAACACCAACTAGATAATTCTTGTGACTTGTAAATTAAATGCATTTGTTAATTAAGAACTTCATTCTTTGGTAATCCAGTGGCCAAAAATCTTCATCTTTTGCTTATTCACTTCTTCTGCTTCACCATTTTCATCGACATTTCCATGCACGATTTCAGCTTCCTTATTGTCGACTTCTTTCTGAGCAACCATTTCTTGGAACAATGGTGGCATGGGGATAACACCTGTGGAGACAATGACGGAAACTAAAAGGTTGAATTACCTAAATACCCTTCTTATTAACGTAATAACCCTACTTAGTTAAAAAAAACATCCAAACGCTTATATAGAAAAACTAGCTGTATATATAATACTTGTGGCATGTCTGGTGTTCGGAGAAACTACCTTTGCCAGAATTGTCTTCAGAATACACAGTCTTGGCCACTTCTTTTCCTTTATATACTTTCTTTTGCACAACAAGTTCGCGACCATCCACATTTGCAAAACTTCCAAAATTCCCATCCTTAGCGAGGTTTGAGGAAGAGGCCGTACTGTTTGAATCAATCTGCTCGGATTCGATCTCATCTTTGTTTTGCTTACCCAAGTTCATTAGATTATTCCATGCATCAGCCAGAAACTTTTCAAGCTCATATTTTTCTTGTGGTGTCAATTTGCATCTGATTGTAGGCTGCTCACTGCTTCTTTGGTACTTTTGTGCAGATTCTCCTTCCAACTTTGAAGATTCTGCTTTTCTTTTCTTGGAGGGGTTTTGTGACATCCCAGCCTTTCATTTAATAATAATAATATTGTAAAAATAAAATAAGTTAGTACTAAAGAAAACGTGTCAAGTTCATAGCGGTAATTAGGACTAGGCATAGTTGAGGGTTGGCACTGGAAAAACAGTGTCGAGTTCAAGGTAGTGATGTATTCTGTCCACACATGTTTACTTGTTTGACCTAAAGTCATAGTTTGATGTGAAATCTAAATTTATAAAAGAAAATTATGATATATATTTTTATTTGAAGTATATTTTTCTAGCTTTTTGAGATACAAAGTTATTAATAACTTTTTTATATTCGATTTCGTCTAATAATTCCTTTTCTATTGATAATATAGCCAGGTCATTTAATTTTTCTCGAAACATTGTTGATCTTATATAAGATTTTATCAAATTATAATCTTAAAAAACTTCTTTTCTTTGAGGTAACTGTTATAGGAAAACTCTACTATTGTACGAAAATGAAGTACTAACTATTATTTTCTTAAATACCTATATACCTAGTATTTCTAAAAAATGGGGGCCCCGTATTTGGGAGCATGAGGCACAAGCCTTACTTGTGATAAAGTTAGAGCCGGCCCTGATTCTGCTTATAATTTTTGGGCCTTTTTTACTTTTAGCACGCGCCAGAAACTATTTACATTCGATAGCCGAAAAAATATATATAATTTGTATAAGTTTTGTATATAACATATATATATTATTTTGAGAGCGGCTATAAAGTGTCATTTTTTCTAATTTGTTTTGTATAACTCCTTTAATCAAATAGCTTATCATAAACTCACCTCGTCTTTCTGTTTGTTATCCCTGTTCATTAGGTTGTTCCATGCATCAGCGAGAAACTTTTCAACCTTGCTCTTGCCATTTTTCGTTGAGCGTTTTACTCGAACACCAACCTTAAATTTAATAAGGATAATATTGTAAGATTAATAATATAATTTGTCCAAACAATTTATGTATTTAATCTAACAACTTACAAAAGTCTCTGTTACTGCATTGGTTTCTTGATCAACTTCTATTTTCAGTTTCTCGAAACCTTTGAATACGTGTCTTCTTGCATCCCCAGTAGATCGACACTCGCTACGTTTGGCCTCATGGAAGTAAAACTGCAATACAAGAAGTTTTTCTTAAGGTTATATATATACTAACTGTAATACATTATATTACAAAGTAGAGTCATAAGCAGTGACGTACGCAGTATTTTACATAAGCAGTGCCACAATTTAAAAAAATAGGCAAATGAATAAATCACTATAACGAGAAGCGGTATCATTTTCTATACGTATCCCCAATATTTTCATTTTTCTTTTAAATATCTAGTGAAAAATTTCGACCAAGGGGTGTTCCGTGACATCGCATGGTATAAGGTGCATATGCCCCTGGACTCATAAGCTTCTTCTTGATTTTTAAACTTCCATTTTCTTGATTTATCATTTGGTTAGAGATTTGATGGTCTTTATTTAGGATCAAGAACTAGCTTGATAATTTAACAAATTAAAAGAAAATGGTAGATTATAGAACTCTAGAGAAGCCGAGTTTACTACTCCCTCTGTCCAATTTGTGTGATGATGTTTTACTAAAGGAAAAAGTTTCACATCAATTAGGGGACACAACGAACGAATACACCTTGCGGCAGGCGGTGTCACGTGACATCGCTTCATCAGAATTTTTATTAAATATGTATATATAGATAGTATACAAAATGAAAAAATTGGGTATTAATATAAAAAATGACATCATTTTTCATTATAGTGATTCATTCATTCATTCATTTTTTTAAATTTTGACCCTGCTTATCAAAAATCCTGCGTATACCCCGAGGACAGATGAAATAGTTGCAACTTCATTTCATACGAGTTTGGAACATGAAAAATATGAATTATTTACCGCTTCAACTTTTCCATTTCGACGTATTCTCGTTTCAGCTTGCCATCCATGCAGCAAATCATAGTATTTGTGATTCAGTCCATAGGGATCACCACTTGGTTCTTCTCCTTTCTATTATTTGAATCCATAACAAAATATTAATGAAAATTATTGTCTCATAATTATAATATGTTTGAGAAAATCTTACATTATTACAGAAAAATAATCTTAATAACTAAATGTACTAACCTTATTTAGTTTAATGGTGTAATGGTTAGGTTCACCTTTACAAGGTACAATGATGAAGCTAGCAGGAGTATAGCCTATGATTCGGCCAGTAACTAGCCTTCTCTTCCTCCCAGCAAGTTGTTTTGGTACCAATATCATTGGTTGATCAATCTGCAAAGTTTTATAGTTTTGCGAGGATAAACGAATAAAAAATATATAAAATAAGAAGTTTACGGTTAAATTATTTTTCAATAAAGAAAAATATGTTGTTCGTTTGGGAAACAATGAATAAAAATATAGGGCCACTTAAAAATGGGGAGAGGAGTATTATTTTTGCTTAATAGACCAACAAAGAGAATCGAATGGTAAGATGATGGTAGAATTTGCTATCTCAAGTGCCAATATTCAGTTCTTATCCTATGCAACTCTTTCTTTTCTCCGAATCCATAAAAGAATTAACAAACAATTTTTTTTTTAAGAAAAAAAAGAGACAAGGTATTTTTTTCTTATACTCGATGATTGTTTTGTTCATGCAATTTTCAGAATCATGTTATATATGAGAAGTATTTTCTATAATCCGCACAAAATAATGATTATCAATCATTATTATATAATTCATAGAAAAGAACCATGTATATACGATTTTTTTTAAATAAAGCTCAGTCATATTTTTATTCATATCTACAACGTTTAATCTCCATAGAGTTTATATTTCAAAAACAAAAACAAAAAGTCTTTGAAAAACTTTCGCTAAATGTCCAAATATACAAAAAAAATAAAGTTGGCTCTCTATCTATGTGAAAACATATCGAAAATACAAGAATGAGT